GGTTTCGTTTGAAACACACCCGACGGCTTGCACTCCTCTGTCGGGTGGTCCGAGTAGAGGAGCCTGCGTACGACCTCGCGCGAGCTATCCTCGGCGAGTGGGGTCCACCACGGGATGGATCTCTCCGTGCGCAGCTCACTCCCAACGACCCAGTGCTGGTGCCAACTCCCACGCATTCAGGCGTAGCACTACGTATGCGAAGTCTTTGAGTTAGTTTTTGCTAATTTGGTTTCAACGCGAACACGTTTGATTGATTGATTGATTGACACTATGCAAGGCCACGCTGCTCGCGGTCGAGATGTACATGTAGTATGCCAAAGCAGAAGGTCCATTCTAATGGCATACTATCTGGCTGCGATTTGGAGGCAAAAATGCTGTTGTTTGCTGTTGGGAGTTGATGCTCGCAACGAGGTTGGATCACTGTAGGGTTGGGGTAGGGTAGGTGTTCCAGGTCGAGGTCGCAGTTGCAGCTATAGAACGACGAAAGGCGGGACAAAATACGAGCGTGTATTGCAGAGCGAAGATAGCTCGAAGCCTAGACGTTGTTGTTGGCTGGTGTCTGCATGGCGATGGCGGCTTCGCGCCTTGCGAGTTGAAGCTGCTCCACACTGCGCACGACCCACACGCGCGCACACAGCAGCAGCGAGAAGAGCAGCACGATGCTTGAGACAACGGCCACTGCAATGTCGTACTTTCGGGCGACCGACAGGAGTGTGTGGCCAAAGCACGCGTCGTACGACGGGTTCAGATGCGAGAAAGCAAACATATCGGGGTAGTCGGTGCTCGCGTTCAGAAACTGGCGCGTGTTCTCTGCGGCAAAATTGGCGCGCTTGATGCAGTAGATGCCGTACCCTTTCGGCGTCGTCATGGGGCACGTGTCATGGACCCACGTCTGGAGCGCTGTGTGCTGGGTCGTGTCGGTCGAGAGCGCGGCGCAGCCGTGGCACAAGCGGTAGAGGTCGGTCTTGAACATCGCAATCGGCTCCGACGAGAGAGAGTAGAAACGAAACGCGTCCGTGAGGTTGACGCGCGCGCAAAAGCTCTCGATCGTCGTGGTAGCTGTCACCGTGACGTTGGCGAGCGTGGCTGGCAGCGTCGATACATTGCGCTCGACTTCAGCCGTCATGTTGGGCTTGGCCCAGATCTCTGGGCTACCAGGAAACGTGCGGGACAACACTCCATGGTACAAGATCGTTTGGACGAGCGGAAACGCGCTGCAAAAGCGGCGGCCTTCGCTCACGCAGTATGCTTCCGAAAACATTTGCGCGGCGTCCAGAGGGTACTCACTGCTGTTGTACGAGCGCATGGGGTGGCGCGGAAGGTACGAGGATCGCCCGGTCGGGACAAGGACGCCCTGTGTGTCGCGCACCTTGTCGGACGCAAGGGACGCAGCCATGAGGTGCTGGTACGTCGTGAGCGCTGGCGCCATCTCGATCCCGTTCGTCAGCATCGGCGACGACGCGATCGCATCGCCCAGCAGCACGCTGACGCAGACCATCTCAAGGAACAAAAGCAGGAGGCAAAACGTGTACCATGGTGCACAGCGCGTCCAGACAAGGTGCACGAGGCCAATGACACTGAAAAGAAGGGCGAGCACAGCTGCATAGACTGCATGCGGCATCGCGATGAGCGCGCCGTACATGGAGGCGACAAGGGCGATGACGCCGGCGCCATAGGCGGCAAAAACGACAAAGGCGATGGCCACGGCCACGGAGGTGCGCGTGGGTGTGGGCATTTTGAAAAATGACATGTGGTGATATGATCACATCGTGTCCTGTCCACTGTGCCTGTCGCTCTATCTGCGCGTGGCTTCTGCGCCTGTTTTTGATATGGTATCTTGCACCCATGCCAGTCAAAATAAAAAAGAAAAAGAAAAAGCATTAGCAAAGACTGTATCCGGAGAGGCGCCGTTTTGACATGGTGTCGCGTTGGTGCAGGTTGGTTCCCCACCCAGAAGGAAAACAAGTTCACATCCAGCACGCGCTTCTGTCGACAAATTGAATATGGCTCAGACGTGGAAACGCTGCCTCCCACATCGAGTGGGGCTGCATTCGAGTCTTGGCAACACTGTCTACAGCGGTAGATATGGAGGCAATCGAGCTAGGTCCAGTTTCGTTATCCTCGGACACCAAACGTCAACCCATTGACTTTAAAATTTTTATATCGTTTAGCAGCTCTAGACCTGTACAGTGCTACGTGCTATTGCTACGGTCAACTGTCATGCCATGACGCAGCCAAGAGCAGACGTGGCCTCTTGCGCTCACCTCGCTTGTCTCAGAGTTACGTCAGATTTACACGACTGTTGACATCGACATATACCAATGGTACTTGCTACGACTTTGTGGCATTGCCAATAGACATTATAGATCTGAATCTATACCAGTGAGTGTATCCAAACGTTCGTTTACGCGTTCTCGACGGGTGTCGACACGGGTTCCGCGACCCGACGCATCTCGACACGGCAAAGGATCCACACGATTACAGCAAGCAGGAGGAAGAAACCCAAGAGGACACCCGAGACAATGGCGACGGCCGTGTTGTACTTGTGGACGACCGGCATGAGTGTGCTACCAAAGCACTCGTCGTTGGACGCGTTCAAGTGGATTGGGTCCAAGCACTCGCCATCGCCCTTTCTGGCGCGACAGCCGACCGTGATAACGCACGACGAGCCCGCGGCTTTGGGCGTCGTCATCGGACACGTGTTTTGAATCCACGCCTCCAGCGTCGTGTACTTGGTCGTGGTGGTTGCGGCGCCGCGCAACCACTGCAGAGGTCATTGAGGTTTTTCTAAAACTTGAGAGCGGAATCGTTTGAACGCGTCTGCAGGTCCGTGTCCTTTTGGGGCGGGTTTGGGATGTTGAGGCTCGCGCAAAAGATGGTGAGCGTCGTCGTCCGTGTCACCGTGACGTTGGCGAGCGATGCCGGTAGCACAAATAACGTGTTGGAGATCTCGGCCGACACGTTCGGATGGTGCCAAAACCCCGGGAGCAAGATCGTTTGGTAGAGCGGAAACGCGCTGCAAAAGCAGTGGCCTTGGCTCGCGCAGTACGCTTCCGAAAACACGTTTGCGGCCGCACGAGAGATGGATGCATCAAAGTAGTTTGTCGGGTCGGCGCCGCCGAGCCAGAGACCGTCGCTGTACGGGTTCATCATCCGCGTCGAGTTGGAGATGAAGAAGGTTTCCATGTCGTGCTGGAATTTTGCGAGCCGTGGCGCCAGCTCGATCGCCGTCGCGATGGCGGAGTCAGCCTTGACAGCATACGCTAGGAGAACGCTGCAACAGACCATGGCCGCACCGAGAAGCGCGAGGTTGAGCGAGTGCGACGGCGCCCACGCGAGGTGTCCGAGTCCGATCACAGCTAGGAGAAGGGCCGCGATGGCCACCACAATCGCGTGTGGCATCGCGATGAGATCGCCGTACATGGAGCCATTGAGCGCAATGACGCAGGCGCCGTACGCAGCAAGGATGACCAAGGCGACGGCCACGGGGAGGGTTGTGTCGGCGAGCGAAGGCATTTTGAAGAATGCCCCTCCACGCCCGTATAGACTGTCATTTTGTCTGTCTCGGCAAAGGGATTCAGTGCTGTGGCACCCAAAATGATTTGAACTGTGCGAGGTACTGATGTTGATATTGGAAAGTGATTGAGCAGAGTGCGTTCACTAACGTTAGCTAGCAACGTGCAACTTCTTTCTTCTAGCTGCTGTGGCGCGTGTCCGGTAACCACGCCGGATGCACTGATGCATTTCAAGAGCCCTTGACCCAGACCACCAACATTCTACCCCATAGTTCTTCAAGCTGCGCAAACCTCCCATGGTCGCTAGGGCCTGGAGCCCTTCCATGTCTCTGCATATTAGCTATTTCTCAATAAGTACTGTCTTGGGCTCACGTGTCGGTGCCAACCTCGCTCTGCCACCACTCTCGAAGGACCAAGTGCATTGGAAGCTCGTGACCAAACACTGCCACTTTTCCTTCTAGCTGCGTGTATGTTATAGCTATGCGTACTACAACTTGGGAGTGGTCCAGTAGTAGTTGCGTACAGCGCCACCAAACGATCTTCGTACCATTGATGCAGACGTCCTGCTTCCACCCACGAGTAGGCTCGCCTTCACTTTGGTTCGACGCACCCACTTACGACTCGAAGGACTGCATACTGTGTATCGTCGTGTTGAAATTGGTATATCAAAACCAAGCGTCTTTCTCTCTAGCCTACGCGCCCTCAACGGGGCTC